GCTTCAGGTTCAGCTCGATCCAGCTGCTCTTAAGTGATGACAGCCATTTATGATGTTTCCGCTTAGGCTCTTTGCTCTAGGCAGGCTTCGTTCTCAAGCAATTGGGTCCATTCTTGTTCCCACAAGTCACTTGGCCTGGAAGAGCTCCTGGCTTACATTCTTCCAGCTTTGCTTTCCTGACAGGAGGAACACTCCTGTCTCTCTGTGGCTCCAGTGATAATCCGAGGCAAGGACTCGCCGGGTCACCTTGGGTCCCTGCATCCTCCTGAAGTGAGGTAGTTAGGTCTGAGCGCAGAGACAGGAGAGGGGGCGTTTCTCCAAGGAGGTGCAGGGGGCTGTTCTTGGAAGAGAGAACCAATGTTAGGTGGGTGAAAACAGCAGATGCCACTCCGCATGCTCGCCCGCCGTGTTCTCCTGGGAACACTGGAAATGCAATAGTCCCCTCTGCAGCAGGTGTGTGTAGAGTTAAACGAGTTAAGGCTTGGGCCGCAGATGCTGTGCCTACCCCGCCCACCTCCCTGCAGCCCTTCCAAGTACATGGCCCCAGGCCCTGGCCTCTGCAGCTGCCTCTCCTTGCTGGGGGAACTCTCTCTGGCTGCTGGTGCCCACTTTGCCCATGCCGGCCACAGGCTGGGTGTGTTGGGAACCAAAAGCCCTCGGCAGAGCCTTCTGCTGAGAAGTCGGCCACCTTCCGAGGTGGCCCAAGACATCACATGGCAAGAGACAAGGAAGTAGGTGTGTGTGTTTCTTTCTCCGTTCTTAGAAAGACCCCAGTATTCAACCTTGGTGACTCTGTCTTTACCTAATCACTTCCCCAAAGCCTCATCTCTAAACAACATCATTAGATTAAGGTCCCCCCGGTTGGCCTGGAAGAGGGGATTAAACTCCAGCCCTGACATGAGTCACCAAGTGGACTTGAATCCTGCCATTTTGTAGCTGAGTGACCACACCAAGTTATTTAGCATCTCTGAGTCGTAGCACATATCACGAGTGTTCAACAAGTGTTTGCTGTTGTGGTCATAGGTTCACTTCTGCCTTCGCTTCTCCCCATGGTAACTGCCATGACCTTCTTCCTGTCCCGGATCTCTTCTCTTTGGTCACAACAATCCCCCTTCCCTCTTTCCTTGACCATGTCTCACCACTTCTTAATTTTACTCTTTCCCCAGGATAATTATAAGTTTGACGAGAGGATGTCACTATTTAAACCATTACAAAGAAAAATCGGCAACTAAAAAACCAGATAGACCTGACGATATTTGCTGAGACTGGAACTTTCTTGAAAGCAGGACTAATGTTGGTTTTCACTCTGCCTGGAGTTAACACATGTGTTTGTTTTCAGAGTTTTATTTTTTCCAAACTAAGACAAATTAGCAGACTTTCTTTTAATAAAGAAAGGAGATTGAATGAAATCTACTTCCTCTGTACATTACATCTGCTTCCCATCTGCAGTTTTAGCCCAAATGATCATTTTTTATCCACATGCACAAGAATTTGGCCTCTTGTGTCTGCAGAGCCGGGCATCCAGTCGCTGAATGACACCCTGGTGGTACCAGAGTGTTAATGCACCTCATTTAGACACAGGAATCCACCCCAGCATCATCTGGACTGTTAACCAGTTATTTCTAATATGAGATTAATGCAAAACTTATATCTTGGGAGGGGGGAAGTGTTTATGAATAAATATGGATTGCTCATTAATGGGACACTATCAATTCAACAAGACATGCATTTCAGCCTAACAAATGGTGACTTGGCAAAGTGACACAGGAATGCATGCAGAAGAAAGTTTGGTTTGTCTTGGGAGAACCAACCACAGAGGATTTGGAAATGAAAGGCTTTCTGTGTTGGGTTTCCATCTTCAGACTTCTGCCTACCGCACAGCAAGGAGTTGGCAAGGTGGCTGGAGTGATCTTTTCTCAATGAGCTTACGGCTCTCTGTGCTCCCCAAGGGGCCGTCTCCATCTGTTCTGGCCCCAGTGGGGGTACAGGGGAGGATGGCTTGTTTTTATGTTGTTGGGAACTAGCAAACAAACCTCCATGTTGCTGTGCTAATGCCAGGTGAGTCAACCTACTGAGAAAGGCAGAATTCTTTTGGAGTGGCAAGACTGCCCTGGGAGGGGGCATCTAGCAGGACACAGAAGAAGGCATTTTCTCAGAAATGTGCTCAGAGAGCCCTCTTTGGGGCTTCCCTGTTTTAAACAAGAATGAGCTGGAGATTTGAGGGGAGCCAAATGCTTATGGCTAGAGGCCAGACTTCATTTATACAAACGTTCCCCTGGGTATGCGCCAGGCAGGTTCCCTTCCCACCGCCTCCCGGGTACCTCTGCAGGCCCTGGGCCTGTTCTCACTTCCCTGTGTTTGTCAATAGGAGAGACTAACTTTCAGGGAAAGAGAATCTTGAGCCAGAAGTGTTTGGTTTAAGAATCAGCTCTGCCTCTTACAAGCCGTAGGTAGGAGTGGGAGTTGGAGGTCTTTCTCTGAGTCTCAATTTCTTCATGTACAAGACAAAAGTGATAGTCGTTGCCTAACAGGGCCCAGGACAGAAGTGCACTTATCAGTATGGGGCATTGAGAGGTTTGGAACCACCGATCCTTTTGTGGACCATTTTGTGTGCCCATTTGGAACCCCTGGTCATGTAAGAACGGTGAAATGTTGGGGCATTTTGACCTGGATGGGAGAGGTGGCTTGAGTTTGATCCCTGCCACTTTGTAGCTGGGGGACCAGGGCCAGGTTACTTAGCATGAGCCTACTTTCCTGTCAGTAGGATGGGGATGAAGAGTCTGGCTTCTCCCAGGATTTTTTAAAAAAAATTATTTCTCACAGTTTTTTTTTTTAAATACCTTTATTTGTTTATTTTTTTGTGGTGCATGAGGATCGAACCCAGGGCCTCACACGCCAAGGCGAGCGCTCTACCGCTGAGCCACAACCCCAGCCCGAGGAATTTTTTTTTTTAATAAATAAATATTTTCATTCAACAAATAGGAGAGGGATCAACAGAGATAGAAGTGAGGAGAGGGAAGAAATGATTCGATGCAGGGATAGAAACATCTCATTTGAGTTAATGCACATAGGAGAAGCGCTTTGCAAACAGTACATTTCTATGGTGCTCTGTATAAATATTATCTAACGGACTTTATCTAGACAAGAAGCCCACGAAACCCCAGGCGTTGGGCCTCATTTTTCTATTTTCCAGTCTCTTTACATGTAATGTTTATAGGGGTGGAACTGCAGGGAGATAGAAATGGGGGCACCAGGAGGAAGACTCCCCTTCTTTCTCCCAGCCAGAGGACACAGGAAACAATAGGACGGACCATGGAGGAGCAGACCCTCTATTCAATGTTGGTCGAGATCAGCACCAATTTTTGATAACTGAATAGAATTTCCAGGGGTCCAATATTTTCTAAAAACGATCATATTTCTGAAGTCAAGTCAGTGAGCATTATTTGGATCTGAAGTTAGTACATTAAATGACATCTTGCAATGTTCTCTCCAATGGCACTTTTTAGTGGCTGGTGGGGTTGGGGACCACTGATCTGTAACACCATTTTTCACTGGATCTGGAAAACAGGATGGTGACCTATTTTTTTTAAAAAAGGTCATTGGACATATCATTGAAAAACAAGTCAATCTCAGAAAAAGAAAACAGGTATTTAGCCAGAAATCTGTTTTCTGAGTTTCTGCTCAGAAACTAAGGAGCCATGCCGTTTGCTAGAGGGGAAAAAAAAAAGAAGCGTCTTTCTGGAGGGATCCTTTCTTTTTCCTCTATTTCCCTTCTGAAATCACCAGCCGATGCTTGTGACATCACTGGGTTGCTGTGGAAATGTTTATTTCACAGAGGATTTCGACCTCAAGTGGGGAATTTACAAGAGGAAGTGTGAACTCCTGGAAAAACAAAATTGGTTTGAAGGAAAGATTCAGAAAGAAAACAACACAAGCTGCCATTCAGGATTGTTTCAAGTTGTCCGGGGAGGATTCAAGTCCTTGGAAGAGCATCTTACACAGATAGGCCCGTTTTTTATATGAATTTTACTTTCCATAAATATCTATCTAAAGAGTCAGGGGAAGCAAGTAAAGAATGTCTTTTTTTTTTTTTTTTGCAGAAAATAAAACAACTTTTAGCTACTCAATTATTAAGAGAAAGGTTTGGTCCTGAGATACCATGGGGGCCGAGAAGGAAATTAATTATATATCTATTTATATTTTTATAACATATAATGAACTTAAGAGAATATCTCCCTTAAATTTTTTTGACTGAAGGGATCTGGGTTTTAGTACAGAAGCTACAAAATCCTTTTTCTTTTTAAACTGTTAAATCAACAGAACGCCAAACTGGATCCTTTCTTCCTGCTGGGGCAGTATTGTCCCCTAAATCCACTTTCCAGTCCTCTCACCCTAGCCTAGTTTGATATAGCAGCGACTTAGCCTAACTACAGCAACCGGCAAAAGGAAGTGGTTTTGCATTTGGGATGAGAGGAGGCAGCCACGGGTGTGTGTGTGTGCCTGCGTGTGAGCGCGCGGGGTGGTGGTTGGCGGTGGGGGGGGGGGACTGGGAAAGAAAGAAAATCGAGACAGAGCAACTGTGTGAGAATAATTTCCCCGTGGCTGGAAAAAAGGGTCTGTGCACGGAAAGCAATTTTAGGAATTAAAAAAAAAAAAAAAGCCTTCAAACAGGATGGAGAAAGGCTTGCCAAGAGGTGTAGGGCGTAACGGGGGCCTGGGTGCCTTCCCGGGCATCCTTCTTTTCCCTTTCCGGGCTTAGGGCTGCCCCCTCTCCAACCACCCACCTGCCCGAAGCCTCACCCGCGCCCCCTGTCGTCCCAGGGAGCGCACAGCCGGGCGGGGACAGCCAGGAGCTGGGGCTGGCCGCGGGGGCTGCAAAGGTCTGGCGGCGCGGGCTGATTTAGTGGCCGGGGCTGTAGTACAGGCTGTCCCCGGCAGCCGGCGGAGTCAGGGAGCCCACGTGACGGCCCCGGCTCTCCGGTGAGCTCCCCAAACAGACGCACACTCAGCCACACGGGCGCGCGCGCGCACACACATACACACACGCACACACACACACACACACATACACACATACGCACGCACCCCCGCGCGCACACGCCCGCCCGCCCGCTCTGCCTCTGCGCCCTCCATCCCGGCTCGCTCATTCTCTCGCCCTCTTGCTTCCCCTGCGGTCTCTCGCTCTGCGCGCACACACCACACACACGCACACGCACACACACGCGCGCACACACGCAGCCGGCACAGGCGGCGGCGGCGGCTGCCCAAGTCAGGACGAACCTCTCTAGGTACCGTCTTGAGAAGGCGGCAGCGGCGGCGGCGGCGGCGGCGGCGGCAGCCCGAGCATCCCTCCTCACCCGGAGAGGGAGCACAGCCGAGAGTTTCCGTTCCCTTGGCCATTCCCTTCCCCCTCCTTTTCTTTATTTGCGAGAGAATTTCTTCTTGGCTTATAGGTTTAATTTGATTTTGAACATTTTTGGTTGCTTTTGTGTGTGTGTGTGCTTTTTTTTCTTTCCTCATTTTATTTGCATCCAGAGCATGGCGGGCTGCGGGCTGTCGGAAGACACCTTCTTCTCTTCCTTCTTTTACAACTACGGCTCCTCCTGGGAAACCCCTTCCAACCAGGTAAGGGGTGGCTCGGTGCCGGGCGGCGTCGCACCCCGTGCCCCCAGCCGCTCGCTCACTTGGCGCTCGGCGGGGAGGCAGAGGCTCGGGAGGGGGTGGGGAGGATGGGGGGCCAAGTGGGTCGCACTGTCTGGGTCAGCGCCAACCGGCGAGAGGAGGTGTCCCCCCTTCCCCCAGCGCCAGATCTCCAGTCTACAGGGTCTGTCGCGTCCCTCCCATGCCCATTCTGCCATCGACACCTCCCCCCACCACCTCCCAGCCCAGGGGGAACCGGAGAAAGAGGCAGGAGCTGGCGCGTTACCCCGAACAACTCCAGGCAAAAACCAGGGAACTCGAGCGCAACCTTCCCCAAGTCGCCGCGGGCGCCGCGCCCCTGTGCGCCCAGCGCCTGCCCGCCCTCCAGTTGCGCCGAGGGGCTGCGGAGCCGCGAGCCCCCCGCGACGTGCTGTTACCCCCCTCCACTCCCCCCTCCCCGGGCCCCGAGCCACCTCTTTCCCTAAAATGGCTGCAATCTCAAGTAGAGGCGTCCCCTGACCCGCGGAGGTGGTGGTGGTGGGGGGGAGGCGAGTGGAGGCTCCACTCCTCATGACCCCACGCCTCCCCCGGCGCGCACAAGCACCCCACAAACACACACACTTAACTTTGATGACTGTGCAATGCAGTCCGGCTGCATCGTGCCCTAGACGCTCCCGGCCGCCGGCCTGTAGGTGTGCGTATCGGTGTGACATGGGGGACCTGGGGAAAGATGGGGGTAGATGCCGGAGGGGGGCATGGGAGGAGATGGATGTCAGCGGACCACTGGTATCCTGGAGAGACAGGCATGTGCTCAGGGTCTAGGGATGAAAAAGCTATTCTGGGAGCCAGAGCGAGAATTAGAGGAAAAATGCCTTTTAATTAAATAAATGTTGTAGTCTGCTGCCCCCACCGCTTGTTTGGTGAAAGTCTACAGGCATCTGTCATCTCCAAACTACATGGGGAAGTGGAGCTGGGGTCGAAGGAGGGGAGGAGTGTGTGTGTGCGTGTGTGCGTGTGTGTGCGCGCGCGCGTGTCGGGGCTGGAGA